CACTTACTGTGTAAGACTATTCAGGAAAAAAATCAGACTTCACCAAACCAGTAGCTACATTATTAAGACTCCGAGTGTCAACTTCAGTTTTTATTATTTTCAGTTCCACTGGGAGAGTGTTTGGGGGGTGGAGAAGGAAACTGGCTGGGAAATCATTTTAATGTATTAAAATTGCCTCTTGATGGCTATCAATCCATTGGAGGCATTAACAGCATTATTGGAGAAGTAAATGAGTTGATTCACATTACGTTGTTGACTTCGAACAGGATGAATCAGTCGGAGTCCTGTATCTTGGTGGTTAGAGTGCTCGCCTCTCAAGTGAGAAGACTGGGTTGGATTCCCGGGCAGGGTGAAACCTTAAGCAAATGTACTTACTCTACACACTTCTGTTTACCTAGCAATAAGTAGGAACCCGGTTGTTAGTCGATTGGTGGATCGCTTTTCTGGGGGTAATAATCCCTTCAAAAAAAAAAAAAAAATTGTGGTCACTCAATCCACGACTGTTTGTGGGACACTGCTGTGTGTAATTGGCTGCCAAGTTTCACCCACAAAATATTCAGTCAATATTCTGTGAAGCACTTTGAGATGTCTCAAAGACACGATAAGACTCTACATCAAATGCAAGGATGATTAATATTATTATAATAAATCCAGTGACAAGAGAGGTATCTCTCTTGGACAAGATCCAGATGAGAGATTTTAAACCAATTTGCCTCAGTTCCGGTGATTACTTCCTTTAAAACTGTTGTCATCACCCCACTTCTCAACCTCCCCTCATACCCCTCCATCCTTTCTAAATACCAACACATCTCTAACTTGCCCTTCCTTTCCAAACTACTGGAACGAATTGCCTCCCATCTTTGCTCTTTCCTCTCCCAGCATTCCCTGTATGAATCCCTCCAGTCCAGCTTTCGCCTGTCCATTACACCACATCCACCCTGTTAAATCACCAGTGACATTCTCCGTGTCTGGCACTCTCTCTGTCTCCTTGTTCTCCTATCTCTCTGCAGCCTTAGATATTATTGACCACTCCATCCTTCACCGCCTCTCCTCTCTACTCCACCTCAGCAATTCTGCCCGATCCTGGTTTCTTTCCCACCTCAACTTTATCTCCTCTAACGGTTTCTCCTCCTGCTCTTGCACATTCACTTCATGGGTTCCTCAAGGCTCTATTCTCAGCCATCTTTTCACTAACTATACGCTCCCACATGGCGACATAACTTGCAGACTTGGGGTTCAATTCCACATGTGTGTTCCGAAACACCGTCCAGCATGAAGGGCATTATATAAATGCAATTTGATGTTGTATATGACAACAACTCTCTCTCTCACTGCCCTCCACTACAGGACCCCTACTATTTTGACTTCTTGTCTGGCAGACATCAAGACCTCGATGAGCTCAAACTTAAGGCTAAGACTTAAAAAATGATTACTTTGGGGAACAATGCAAATTAATATTAACATAAACTCACAACCCCAGCAGTGCAAAATTTGGACTGTGCAATAACAATAATCCTTGCATTTGATATAGCGCCTTATTACGCATTCAAGACATCACAAAGCGCTTCATAGAATATACTGTAAAGTGAATTGACTATGTTTTGTTGGCGAAACTCGACAGTTTCCCACAAGCAGTCATGGATTAGTGACCACATTATAATTTTTTTTGAGAAGAGATTAGATTACCTCTGGAAAAGCGATTCACCTATCAACTAACAACCGGATTCCTTCTTACTACCACGTAAAAAGAGGCGCGTGGAGTAAGGAAACTTGCCCAACGTTTCGCCCTGCTGGGAATCGAATCCAGGTCCTCTCGCTTGCGAGTGCTCTAACCACTCGGCTATAGGACTCCACTAAGAATGCATATAATTTTTTTTAAAAAACCCCAAGTTTAATTCAGTCAAAAACTTGGAGATAATGTAGCTTCAGGACAGTCGTATAACCCACCCAATATTTCAACAGCTGTTGAGACTTAATTGTTTGAAGTCAATTAATTTTAGCCAGGCAAGTCATGCTTATTTCTCAAGTTCCTATATAAAACCATGTAAATGTATCACTTCACTATGTTGTTTGACAAACAATCCTATGTAAACAATTCCTGGAACAATTTTGTTTCACTTCCATTTTTGGAACAAAGGTGTTTAAAAAATGTCAAATTTGCTATCTTCTACATTTTTAAAAATATCACATCCTCTCTTAAATTGTCTCCTTTAATCATTTTTTTCTGAAGGCAATATTCCTTCCGTCAACTGGCCATTTGTGCCTGTTTGACCAAAGATATAGAAATTTAAAGAATTAAGAATTCAAATACGAATTCAATACATTTTTAAATGCATGTTCCCTAAATATAAAAATGTAACACTAAATACGCATTTTGATATAGCTCCAAGGTTAAAATGAGAAAGACGAGCTTCTATGGGATAACTCTTCGAAAAAAAAATTGTTTTTAAGGGCATTTGCTGGAATCTTTGAAGGAAAGGAAGGAATTGGCACTTAAAAAACATGACTCCACCCTCTAAATATCTTTCCCATGTGGGAAAAGTACCTTATTATTTCAGCCAAGCCAAACAAATCATCCAAAACTTCATTGCAGTATATCTGTACATAAGCTACAAAGAAAATTACTGCATGCATCACATGCAATTCTGTACAACTGTAGCTTTTAAATATCACTTTAAAAAAAACACTTCTCCTGTTGGGTGATATCATCCCTCAGTCCATTAGAATTGACATTTCTATCTATAAGTCAAAATAAGCATCAAGACATGAAATCTTGTCATAAATACATTGGAGGAGTTAGAGAATCAACATCAACACTAATCAAACTAACAACCTTGTGTATTACTTACTATGGTTAAATTACAACACTACAATAGAAATCAAGAAGTTCAATTGCTTTCAGAGGTAGTTATCAATGCCTCCTGTTGCATCACATCCAGAACAGAAGGTAGGTAAATAGTAAAGTCGGTAAATAATAACTCGTTGACTGGTTTCTGGCCGCAGGAGAGTGAACCCCTATAGATCAGCAAATGTGGTTTTGCAGGTCAGGCTTGTATGGGGCTTCCTTACAATTTGACAGGAACTTTGCAGCCAGAAAATTCAACCCAATTCACAAAGTGGATCATGGAAACGTCCCTCAACCAGGATTATTGAATTTGAACAAATTAATCCTATCAGAATGTTGAGCAACGACAAAGCTGCAATGTAGCTCTTCACATGGGATAATGCCTACGATTGCTTTGCAGCTGTGGGGTCGGACACCAAGCGAGGAAGAAGAGGAAGGAGCCCGTAGGCACATTCAAAACCTGAATAAGAAATAAAGTCTAGAAAGAGTACTTATTGCTCAAAGTACATACTTTAGATACAAAGTAAAGACATAAAACAGTACGCTATCTTGAGAGGTACCCTCACTGTAGTACAGTCCCTGGGGATTTGCCTCCTCCTGGACGGCTGCTACATCTTTTATGCAGAGACCCATCAGTGTCTGGGACCTGCTCTGTTAAGATTAGAGAACTAGACCTTTGAACCAGAAGCTGATCTGAAGTTCCATAATTATAGTAGAGTTGAGAACAAATTGTGCGTTTCACGTGTTTTACTAGGTTTGAGCAAATCAAGATCAATGTAGCAAAGGTTTCAGTTATATTGGATCTAGTGGTACAGAATAGAAGCATAGTTTTCCTGCATAGTTTCACAATCCCGGTCTTTTTCATCTTTATCATTGAACATAAACAAAACCAAAGCTGTCAAGTTAACCTGCAACTGGTTAAGATCAGCTTTGATGTACGTGAAATTGCTTGTGCTTTCACCCAATGTGGCCAAAAAACACACAAAGCAATGTTCTTAGACTGAGAAAATGTGATTGGCTAATATGACTGATTAATGACTAGTTGAATATATTATTCTGTACAACAAGGGAAACAAATTGGCAAGAATATCACTATTGGACCTATTCTAATGACCCAATATTTCTCTTTCCCATATACAAGGTTACTAGATGGGTAAATTAGATGCACAGTACGACTAAATCCCATCCCTAATAACCTCCTGTGCATACCCACTAAGAGTACTTTTTGCCAGCATCTTAAAACAGCTCCATGTCACGTCTGCAATGGAGCTCAATGTGGATAACTGGACTTGTAGTACTGAAAAGCAAATACATTTTACAGAAGCAGCACATGTATGACCAGCTGTATGAAAGACAACTTTCATTTACACACAGCTAACAACAAATTTTGCAAAATGTTTGAATGCTGTCTTTGTATTCAGTCAGATCAAAATATTTCTATTACCCCAGTGTTTGAATTGTATTTAGGGCCACGAGAGACGAGTTAAAAATTAGAAATCCCATTTTCAAGATCACAGTACAGATGGAAGTAGCCCAAGTATTAACCTTATGTATCCAACTCATGAATTTTCTCCAAGCCTGCATTCAAGCTCATATCCATCACTCTTCCATTATTTGTTGCTCTCTCCTCACTTGGTAGCCGAATCTTCAGTCACAATAATGCCCCTATTCTCTGGAATTCTCTTTCAAAACTATTGCCTTGATATCGCTCTCCCTTCCTTTAAAAAATACCTCCAAAAATATCTCTTCAGCTGTCCGTTTGGTGTACACTAGTTGTCAAATTCTTTGAAATATTCATTTACATGTAAGATGCTTTAATAAACGCAAGTCATTTTTGTTGCATCACGTTTTTGTTAACAGAATTGATGACATTGTATGAAAAAATTAAGGGCAGCATTTTAATTTGAAAAAACTAAACTGTACAATCAAAAACAAGTTTTAGCAATAAAAATTGTTTTAACAAACATTAATAGCATGTACAGAAATTGGCTAAGATATAGCACCCTAACATGTTCTGATTGCTAAAATAGCAATCTTTTCCACTAAATCTTTATCACGATAGAATCCCATACAAATTCAAAAGATCCCTGTTTTAGCAAAGTGCATTGGACCTAAATTAAAATATTCCATATGGTCTATTTAAAAAACACTTTACCTCTCCGTTGCACAAAAACCCTGAGTAGCGGGCATGACATCGAGACGGCTTTGCAGAAGTTGTCGTCATTGTTGATTGGCAGCAAGTCACCATGGACATCAGCATATCCAATTAATACATCCATATTTGAAAGGTTATGTATATGAAGAATCAGACCATAGAATTCGTCAAACTTTCCAGGCTTGTAACGATTTAAAGAAAATCTTCGGAATTCTGCCCCATACTGAAATAATAAATATTACATCGGTTATAATGAGGGAGAAAGTAGGAAATACAGCACTCTGCAAGGGGAAAAAAGCAATATTAAGACTACAAAAATTTAAAACAAACTCTCAATCAAAGTAGTAGGCTGTTTCGTAAAATAGACTTCAATTTTAGAGACTGTAAAAATTCTCCTCCTACATGTTTTAGAGACCTTGGAGCCAGATATTGGCCTTCCCTTGAAGCACCGCAACTGTGAATACCATAGAAATTCATAGCACAGTAGAATGTCATTCTGGCCCATCGTATCTGTGCTGGTTCTTTGAAGAAACAATCTAAACAATCCCATTTACATTCCTTTCCTCCACACCCTTGCAAATTACTTGAGCGAGAGAGACACAGAGAAACAAATAAGAGACAAAAATTAAAGGCATGCTTGCACCCACAAAGGTAAGATGACAAGGATTTGACTACACTTCCCTACAATATTCATTTCACTTCAGTTTCAATTTAATTTTACAGTTTCAATTTATGATCTGCAAAATTTGCCCTTTTGAAACTTCGTTTTAGTACCTACCTCATGATTCGTCCTTGGGCTTTTAAAATTAAAGCAATTTTTGGTAAGTTATTTTAAAAAAATTCTACTGAAACTGTAACTATGATTTCATCCAAATAATTACAAAAAACATTTTTCACTTAATATGTGACCCTATACATTCAACAGAAAGTATTCAAATACTATAGATATGAGGATAATGGAAATCTAAACTGGAACAATATTACCCTACCATTCAGTGGTACATCTGGACATCAAACAGGAAGAGCAAAGCTAAGGTTTGCATTGATCACCAGAACATAAATTGGTTAAGTGCCTTAAACAATATTATAATACATTATCAACTAGCTAATCAATATTTAAAATTGCTAAAACTGTAGCCCTGGTTATTTTAATTCATATGGTGGTTTTCAAAAAACACAACTATTAACACTATGTGAACTGATGTTGAATCAAGACTTCAAAAGGTATCACAGAAGGTCAACCTACATCTTAGTATGAAGTAAACAAAATTACTGTGAGTAACTGCATAAAATTCATGAAACATTCACCAGTCTCAAACACTTATACCGTGTTAGAATTCTGGAATGCACTTTTCAGCACGGTTATTTTTATAGTCACTGGAAGTTTTCATAGATATGTCTTTCCAACAGCAAATTGTATTTTATATTGCACCTCTCACAATAATATAGAATAATAAGCCTTGCATTTGATATAGAGCTTGATCACACTGTTGAGACGTCTCAAAGCGCTTCACAGAATAAACTGTAAAGCTAAATGACTGTATATTTGGGGGGCAAAACGCACAGGAAGGTACAGGATCAGAAAAAAAACATTGTGGTCTATTTGACAGGTTCCAAATAAAAAAAGCTACACTACTCACTAATAATCCTTAATCGATTTCCTTGTCAAATAGCTATCCAACTCCCTCTTGAATTTGCTGACACAATCTGGTCACTGTCCCAGACTTATTATGAATTCATCTGGCCCATTCTTTTTGTCATTGCTTCATCCTTTTATCCCATCTGGATCATCCTATCTAGACAATCTTTGTCATCATCTTTCAACTTTTGATTTCTGTTTACGTTTGTGTCTCAATCTTTTGTTTTTTTCCTTTGCTCTCATTTTCCTGTTCATAATTTTTCACCTGCCCATCTTCTCTTCAGAGAATTTCTGTAAAGTATAGCGACTATGCCTTCACTTTTATTTGGATTGTGTTAATCAGGAGACCAGAAGACACTCCTCTCTTTTTTCAAATAGTGTCAATGGAATCTTTAACAACAACTCGCATTTATATAGCATCTCGGAGCACTTAACAGGCAGAGCTTAACACCAAGCCGCAGGGAGGGAGGAGGTGACTGAAAGCACAGTCGCAGGTCTTCAAGTATGATCTGAAAAGGGTTAGAGAGGACAAGGCTGAGGGATTGAGACAGAGAGAGCTAGGGCATGAAGGGATTTGTAGAGTGTGAGGATTTTGAAGTTGATCCGTTCTGTGATAAGAGAGCCAGTGGAGATTGGAGATGACTGCTGCGAGGGGAGCATGGAGTTTAGAGCAGGTAAGCATACTGTCACCGGAGTTTTGAATTTGTTGGACTTTGTGAACAGAGAAGCTGCAGAGACCAGTGAGGAGGCCATTGGAATAGTTAAATTGTGAGATACAAAAGTGTGGACAAGGGTTTCTGCTGCATTGGGTGTGAGTTACGGGAGGCAAGCAATGTGGCAGAGATGGAGGAAAGCAGTCTTGGACAGGGACTGGATGTGGGGGAGGAAGGACAGCTATGGGTCGAACCTGAGTCCTCGGTTACTTGCAGGTCTCGTAAGTCTAAGGGAAAGGCCAGGGAGGTTGAGGAAGTCAGAGACACAGCAGAAAAGATGTTGATGGAAGCCAAGGAAACCAAGTATGGCTTCCATCTTGTTGACATTCAGCTGCAGAGCGTTTTCACTCATCCAGGACTTGATGTTCGACAAAGAAGCTGACAGAACATCAGCGGACCTGGAGTCACAGCTAGAGAAGTAGATTTAGGTGACATCCAAATACATATGGAAGTTTACCCCACATCTGCGGAGGACATGACCGAGAGGGATCATGTAAATGAGATCCATCCATCTGAAAAGAACCCAGTTTAACTACACATTCAAAGGATTACAACTCTGACAATTGAATGCTCTCCTAGCACCGCATTGGAGTGTTAAGACTTCAGACCAGTGATGTTGAAACAGAGCAACATGCCACGGGCTTGTTTGTAAATCAGCCACCTCAGCTTCAGCAGAAAGCACGTGTCTCATATAATTCTCACTGACAATTTGCTTGTGGAGCCCCATAGCGCAAGCGAGAGGCCCCGGGCTTGATTCACAGCGGAGCCAAACCATAGGCAAGTTTCCTTACTTCACACACCTTTGTTTACCAAGCATTAAGTAGGAACCTGGTTTTTAGTGAATTGGCGGATCGCTTTTCTGTGGGTAATAATCCTTCCAAAAAATAAATAATGATACATTGATCACTCAATCCACAATTGTTTATGGGGACAATGCTGTGGGCGATTGACTGCCGCATTTCACCCACAAAATATATAGTCAATTCACTTTACAGTATATTCTGTAAAGCTCTTTCAGGCGTCTCAGAGACATGATATGCGAGGATTATTATTATTATCATAATAAGACATGTGTGTGGCTATTCAAAAGCATTACGTACGGAGTAAACATTTTTCTAGTCCGGCTTTTTGAATATTCAATTGAAATAGTCATCTAAAATAATATTCGTCTGAGTAAAAACAATTGTGGCAAAACTCTTTTCAGTATTCGGATCAATACACATCTGTGAATCACTATTTTCGGTGATCACTTTCATCAAAAAGGAAAACACTGATCTCTTGAGACAAACTAATGCCTGGTTGCAGAACTGCGCTGTGCGGTCCCGCAAACATTTTCACCAAATTCTCAAGATAGTGGTTGAGAAAAATAGGTAAATATCACACTAATGCGTTTTGCTTTTACATTGCTAGTATTTGCTTATGTTTGAGTTTTGCTGTATATGTGGCATTCTTGGCGTTTCCTTTGCTGATAAATAAATATTTCAGAGGAAATTGTGTGACTGGTTTCATTTTTCAACTGCCGTGGCTCACACTGTTGTTCATTAGTCACACATGTGGTTCAGTATAAATCTGAGTTGAACAATACTTGTCTAGACTATAAGACTAAAGTCCCAACATGGGCCTTGAGCCCACAACTTTCTGACCTAGGGATAGGCAAACCTAGGTGAGTATACAAGGAGGAAATGGCCACAGTGGATATAGAAAGAGGTGCTCGGTAAGAGTGAGTTGAAGCATAGTTTTTAAAAAAAGTAGCCAAAGGGAGCAGCAGAGGATGTGCAGTTACTGTGAGAAATGTCAGAAAAAGAAACTGTGGAAAACAGCATCCTACATCATCAAGAAAATTAAAATTCAAAGTAGTTGATAAGAGAGGAGAAAACAAAAGTACTGAGCAGATCAATAATAAGTCAGGCAAATGGCAAACGAACTGGAAAGTCATTTTATGTTGCTCACACATTTTAGCCAACAAGAGGCATCTCACCCAAACCTCATAATCTGAGATAAAAATGTAATTGGCCATTCCTGCATTATATCTGTTTTTACAAGAATTCATAAATTCTTAAGGGATATGCAAGGAATATGGAGCAGCAAAGTAAATGGAGTTGAGGTACAACTCAGCCATGATTTAATAGAATGGCAGAACAGGCTTGAGAGGCTGAATGGCCTCCCCCTGTTCCTATGTTTAAATTTAATCTAAGTTGGACTGACCCAAGTGTCCGAGAGAACTTCATAATTGATCTATATCAGAGATCTCCAACGAGTGGATCATTTACTAATTCAAGAGAAATTGAACTAGTCCTTGGCATTTAAATGATTGATCTAGTAAAGACCTCTTTTGGAGTACAAATTCAATGTTGGGTCTTCAACCTTGAAGGAAACTATACCTGGATGGTAATCAGCAACAATTCACCAGATTGATAAATGCAAGGAAGGGACTTAACTATAATGGATAGTTTAGGTTAAATTTAGGTTCCACCTCTTGGGAGACATGGAGGTTAAGATAATCCAATTGCAGTATTTAAAATACTGAAAAGAATTGCTAAGACAGATAGGAGATAATTCTGCCTTAAAGTAGAGGGGTCCAAAACGCGAGGTCACAAGCTGAAAATGAAAGCGAAACAGGTTAGGTGGAAAAGCGATTGGGATCTTAAAGGGAGATGGGCAAATAATTGGGAAGAAAATTGAGATGTGGAGAAAAGGAATTAAAAGATTTGCTGAAATCTAGTAAAATGGCAGAACTGGTTCAACAGGCTGAATACCCAGCCTTATCTTGTTCCTAAATTCTTGTTCCTAAATTTCTAACACAGAAAGTAGGTTTGGTGTACCATGCTTGAAAAACACCTGAGCCATCAGTAAAATAGTTTTGTAAGTGAA